ACCAGTTGTAGGTAGGATAGTCCGGTAGGGTAGACTGGGCTCTGGGCGCCAGACAGCAGAGAGAGCGACTTTGGATACTGTGTTGGTGTGGCCTACGGGCTTGAACATTGGCTCATTACTTCATTGTATTGGTCTATACGGATGGTTTCTCGGTGCATTCTGTACTCTCTGCTTGGACACGACTACTTGGACAACTGTGTGATTTCGCAATCTAGTTTTCTGTATATCGTACACACTCATATTCCTTGCACCTTTGGATGTCAGGTAACATACAAACCTGACTAGTTTACTCTTGATGGCACAGGAAGATACTGCCCCTCAATGCACCCTTGACACTTTCATTAACCCCTGTCATATAAGGTACGGTCCAGAACACAGAAGAGCACGTCTAAGCAAGCCAACGGCAGTGTGGACGTCATTAAATTTGAGGCTTCAGACCTCGACAGGCCTTCGGAGGGGGGTGCCCAGAGTTTTGAGACATGGCCATGAGTGAAGGCCGGGGCAGAAGAAAGGGTCGGCCAGCCCTAAGTGAAGGTTGGGGTGATGCAGTTGAAGGAAGGCTGGGAGCCTCTCCAAGTAAACGTGAGGCCCAGCCTTCCACTCAGTTGCAGAGGCTGGGGCCCTGTGCTCAGCCAGAAAGGATTTGTCTGGGAAGAGCCCAGTTCCCACCACGCAGCCACCGCCTCCAGGAAGTAAGAAAAGGGAGGAGTTCGCAGCATTCTACACATTCGGACGCACTGGCTGTTGGTGCTAGCTCTGCTGATAGAGCTCACGGCCATGCTACTGCTGATTGAGGAGTGAAGGTGAGGAGCAGCCACGGGTAGCCGTTCTGTCAGCGGCACTCATAGCTGCTCTGGGAGGAAGAGAGGTGGCACTGGGGCTAGGGTGATCAGGTGAGAAGGACAGGGTGGGAACAGGCACACTTACCTGGCAATGGCCAAAGAGCACACTCATGGTGGTCAGACTGTGCAGCATTGTCAGGCGAGAGAAGAGTGGACAGACAAAGGAGAGAGTGAGAAACTGAGAAGTAGAGAGAGAGAGCAGGAGAGTAGTATAGGCAATCACGTCATCGAGGAGCTGCTACATCGTGGTTGTATTGGTGAGTGGAGGCGAAAAGTTGGGCTTTCTTTATCAAGAGACTTCACTGTCCATATGATCTCACTTGGTGTCTTCTTGGCCGTGCGATTCTGCTTCGCACTTCGCTCATATATGCTTGTTTTGCTTTGAGTACTTCGCTTCTCGGAAAGTTTGTGTTCTCATCGATTGGTTCCTTGCATTCTGGTATTGGAGCATGGTTCCCTGACCAGCGTCTCCTAAAGTTGGAGAGTCACAGCTGATGGTGCCGGTGGTACTTGATGAGGCTGTGGACAGGTCTGTCGACTTTCTCAGTGGCCAGTGAGTGATCTCATGTGCTCGGTGAAGAGCGGAGGGGTGGAATGAGTACGGATTGTGTGGCATTGCAATGAGAGTATGGCATTGTAATAACAGTGGTTCCTAAGCATGACCGCTCATCAAAAGCAACACCATAAGATTATGAGATAATTTGTGGTTAGAGGAAGCATCAAGTAAGTGTCCCTAACCTTATCTGCCCTCCATTATTCTTCTTACTGTGCGGAAGAGCGTTTTTGTAATGACCTGCCAAACACGGACTGAGACGCTGTGGCACACTGCGTGGCCACACGGGCCTGCAGGGCCCGTCCCGCGTTCTCAGCCTAAGCCTAGAAATAAGGGCTCACAGGCCCCGTGTCGTTTCAGCCTGAAAGACTGAAAACGAGGGCCTGCAGGCCCTATGTCATTTCAGCCTAAGACAGGGCTTTTCAGCCCTGAGGCTTTTCAGCCTGAAACGGAGGGCCACTTTCGGGCCCTCATAAGATCGACCTGCCCTAACACTCAGGCACAAAACCAGGGTTTCGGGAACAGGCTATTTTTCGCCTGTTCCCACGACAGCCTCAGCAGGAGCTGCAGCGGCAGCCCCTGACTCCCTTCGGCATTGGCAAGAGCAGCCTCCTGGACTGCCTCACCCTGCAGCTGCAAGCAGTCAGGAGGCAGGCCGAGTAGTACGTAGGGGGTTCCCATGCACTTCACCGGTAGGTAGTTGGACAGAAGGCAGGAGTAGTCTTCAGGATTCAGCAGCAGCACTCTGGAGGAGCGTTGCAGGAGCATCTTAGCGCTAGTAGTAGTCTTCAGCGCTGGGCGCTAGTAGTAGTAGGAGTAGTCTTCAGCGCTGGGCGCTAATAGGTGGTAGTAGTAGTGTTTGGGAGAGATGGCTGGCGGAGGCCAGTGAGACTTACCTGTGGCGCCATAGCTCCAGCTCCATCTTCGAGGTACCTGCATCAAGGCGCCAGCTTCACAGCTTAGTACCGGACTGAGAGAGAGAGAGAGAGAGAGAGAGAGAGAGAGAGAGAGAGAGAGAGAGAGAGAGAGAGAGAGAGTTCTTCTTCCTCTTCTAAGTCCACCATCTCTTCTTCACCCTCTCACTACCTGACTTCTCAGTATCAGTGGACTACGACAGAGAGAGAGAGTTGTGACTTGAGACTTGACGACATTGGATCCAGACTCGACATTGGGATTCAGACATTTTGACGAGGGACTATWTGGGCCTGTGYSGAAGACTTGGTGTTGACGACATTCCCATMYTCCCCTCTTCTTCGTCTAACCCCCCTCTTCTTCGTCTGTGTATGGTTGGGGCTGGCGCA